ATCTCTCTCTCTCTATCTCTCTCTCTCTCTCTCTCTCTCTCTCTCTCTCTCTCTCTCTCTCTCTCTCTNTGATATTCTGGCCATAATTCAATGAATTTCTCCTCCAGCTGAACTTCTCACAACACTCCGCAGGGCGCTGCCATGTTGAAATCATGTGACTCGCTTAATCGCCTGCTATTGGTCGCCCAATATTCCACGTGCGGAAGTTAGCGCAGCAAGTTGAACAGCGTGTGCGGCGGGCTGACATTCTACGGAAAGTTTGTGTTTTTTAACGCAGTGTTCTGATTTTATTTGTTATGCGGCGAGGTTGTTGTTAGAGCCGAGTTACGCCCTACATTTCGCGGGAAGATTTTGATTTTTTTTACGCAGGGTTTCTGTTCTGTTTGTTATGCGAATTTCGCAGCGACGAATGTTGGTCAGATTATCTCTCGGCTAGTCGCGATCTATATAGTCTATAGTCTATATCGTCTATATAGTCTATATAGTCTAAAGACTATATAGTCTAAAGACTATATAGTCTATATCGGGAAAATGTTGCGAAAGGTTGAAATAGGATTGCTGCCTCGAGTTGCGTGTGCGTGTCACACACACGGCAACGGGTTTAAATGTTTCACCGTGACAACAAAAGTCTGATTGATCGACGTACGTGAGCGTGTTTAGCCTCGTTTAGCTACCCCCCGTGATGGTGATGGTGATGATGATCCTGCATGCTAGCTCGCCATCCACCGCTACACCACCCACGCATGTGTCTCTGACATCGGCTGCCTTCGTCTGATATATTTAACGGAGAATTTATGGAAATGGCGAAATCGATGAGGAGAAAGGGGGTTACGTTGCAACGGGGCTTGGTGAGGGGAGAGACAAGGACAAATTGTTTTGGTGTTATAGTGGCGGTGTTTCTGCTATCCTCCTCAGTTTCTCGTGCGTGTGGAATGATGGTAGAATGATGGTTGACTCTCTGACTCGCATCGCACACGCTGCAGAAAGCAGAATTCCTATCGGTCGAACACACACACACACGCGCGCGCGCACGCGCACACACACACACACGCGCGCACACGCACACACGCACACACACACACACACACACACACACACACACA